ATGTACTGCACTTGGACTTAACCACAGGGCTTCGCATTCAATTACTGGCTCCTTATTGGGTTATAGAGACTAAAATCCTTTTTAATTTTGTCTCCAGCAGGACTTGAACCGTTGACCTTGACTGTGGAAGCATGGGAGCTTAACCGCTAAGCTATGGGACCCACACCCTAGTTTTCTATATAATTTATATAACAGATATAAAGATGAGTTAATAAAAACACATCATATTATTTTTAATAAAATTTTTTTAAATTTTTGAACAAAACTAACTTAGCAAAAACTTAATCAAATTTAATAAATTTTTTTTTAAATAAATTCTATAAATTTTTAGAATTGTTTAAAAAAAAATTTATTAAATTTAATAAAATTATTGTTAAGTTATCTATGTTTAAAGTTTTAAAAAAATTTACTTAGAAAAAATATAGTGTGTTTTTATTAACTCTCTTCTATATATATCATGTTATTATACAAAGTCATGTATTATATTATATAATGTTATATTTGTTATATAAAGTTATATAATTTAACTAAAAAAACTGTTATGTACTAATATATTTACTCTAAAATATAATAAGTACACTATAGTGTATAGCATATTAAGTTATAATTTTTTTAATATAATATGCTATATATTATTTAAATATCATTTAAAATAATAAAAAAATTTTATTAGCAAGCCAATAGTATATCTTTTTATGATTTATTAAATATTTGAAATTTATTCTTAATAAGTATGACAATCTAGTGAAGTGGTCAGGTTGTTAACTCCCAAGTGGCAGGTCTAGAGTTCAAATCTTATAGATGATGAATTTTGGAAAATAGATCTGTGTTATGATAACTGTCTCTGTTAATTAGTTGGATTGGTGTATCTGTAACCTTTGTTGCACTATCTTGAATAGGAGCTCAGAGCATCTATACTAAGTGTAATATTACACTTACATAGAGAAATGTTAATAACTAATATTGTATAAGACTTTAGTGCAAACCCACGATAAGACTACCAGGTGCAGAAAGCAAAGGAATCAAAGAGTCAGAAACCTATTTGGAAATCCCAAGTAAGGAGGTAGCACAAAACTTTTGATGATGCTATCAGACTGATGAAAGCCTATGAAACACTCCCAAAGAGATAGGTGAATAAATTGGATATTAAGATATATAGAGGAGCATATGACTAACCAGACTGCCAGAATCACTAGAGGAAAAAGATACTAAGGTATACCATATCAGGCTATCTGAATTGAAAGTCTGAGAAGTCCTGTTGGTTCTGAGTAGTGGTTAGTAGAGAATGACAGAGATGATAAATGACCAGGTCATTTGTCTGTTTTGCAAATGATCAAAAATAATCTCAAAATGACCAGTCATTTGGGTTATCTAATTTTAGAGTCATTTAAAAATGACTTGTAACCAAATGACCCAGGTCATTTAGAAATGACCAAAATCATTTAGATTATTAAGTTACTATTATAAATGAAGACATATGGTAAAGTTAAACATCAATTGAGTGTAACTCAATAACATTATAATGCATCAAAAGGCTATAACTAAAGTATGGCATAACATTTGACCTGTGTTGTAAAATTTGCCTTCTGCATAATATCTGATTTACATAGTAACTTCCAGCTTATGCCTGACTTATGCCATAATATCTGCCTTTGCTAAGTTCTTTGTTATAATATTTTTACTTGTTCTATAATACTTTATTTACTGTTACATAATATTTAAAATGCTGTACAATAATCTATACTAATATTCTCAATACTGCAAATGCAATAAGAATATATAAGTTCAGTCTGCATTATTTTGCCATATAAAATACTTGATTTTTTCTATAAAGTGTAATAAGTATACTATGTAAGTTATTCTTCAAATGTCTGCATCTATATCTATTATACATGCTACAATCTGGTAATGCAACAAAATTAGTTAAGTACTAGTACATATCAGTTAAATTAAAAAAGTTTATATATGCAAAGCTTAATTAAGATTTGAAACTGATTTTGCTTTGTATATTTTAACCAATTAAAACTAGTCTTAGCATATAAAAAAATAAACTATATATATTGTTATTATAACTTTAATTTTTGAATGTTTTTTGCTTTTAATATATAAAAATATGTCATTGATTGTGAGAAAAATTGTATAAAAGGAAGAGAATAGTAATTAGTATTAGTACCCAATTTCTAATAATTGCATATATACTTACTTCTTTATTGTGTAAGCTAGTGTGAATTGCAAGTAAGATGTTAGTGATTAAAAAAGAAAAGTGGTAGTAAAACAAGTAAACCACAAAATAATGAATCATAAAAATTTTTTTATATTGTAAGAAATTACCTTATCTCAAATAGCAATCAAAAAAAACCTCTCAGATTTTTTTTATATTTTATGAACACTATTAAAGTTGATCATAGTATAAGTATTAGAATCAATAAATATTTAAACAATTATTAACTTCTCAAAAAGATGGTAGAATCTACTAGAGAATATTTTGTATAGAATTAAATAACACATCATATCAGTATATTAATTAGCATATTTGGAAATTAAACATGTTGAATATCTTATATGTGTGATACTTCTTTTTTTTGATCTAAAAAAATTTTTTTCTTTTTTTTTTTACAATAACGATGGGTAAACAAGGACATAACTTTAAAGAATTTTTTCATTTAGCTGAACCTAATAATTCCAAAGTGAATAAGAAGACAGTTTGTCTGTCATGTATATGAAAATATACTTTACCTGTTGCTTTTACCAATTCAGACTGCTTTGTTTTTAACAAAACGAAATTATGTTGAAGTCATCTTAGAGATTGTCCAAACTTTAAAGCAGAGTATAATAAAGATGAGGTCTTGGAGATTCTTTCATGATCAGTACCTGAGAATACTAAAAAAAAAAAAGCAGTGAAGGTAATCATACTATAGTATTATAATTACACAATAATTTTTAAGTGCTAACTTATATTGCCCATACATTAATTTCTTGATAAATCATTAGATTCTGCATCTGAAGATGAAATTTTCTTCACATTTCTATAATCTTCGAAACTTCAGAAACTAATTCACCAAAAAGGCAAACATCAGTTAATAAATATGTTACATGTTTATTATCTGAGAAGGATAAACCATATTTTGAAAACTTGGTATTACACATGATTGTATCAAATGACCTCCTTTTTACTTTTATGAAAAATTATAAAATGCAAGAGGTTTTTAACTTTATTGCACTATCTTTAAAGTTACCAAATCAACAGGCAATAAGTAATCAGATTCTTCCAATGTATTTGAAAAAGTTGGCTAAAGATATTTTACAATATGCAAGTGAAGATAAAATTGAAGTAATAGCAGCATTCAATAGCTGAACTAATATCAAGCAGAAACATCTTTTTGGTACTGTTTTGATCACTTCTTAGAGTAAAGCTTTGATTTGGAATGCATGTGATATTAGTAATCAATAATCAAGAACTGAAGATGTAAAACTTCTCATCAAAGATATAATAAATAGTGCAGAAGAAAAAAATATAATAATTAATTGTTATGTATCAGATTCTGCTAGTAAATATGCAGCTGCAAGGTAAATATTAATATCTTATTGTGGATATTTTTATTTAAGTAAAAATTATTTTAATTTTTTTTGCATTTACTTTTTATAAATGACAACTAAGAGTTGAATTTCCTAATAAAATCTTTTTACTTTGCATGGCACATCAAATAAACTTAGTCTTTAAAGATATTTTTAAAGCACCTGATATATATAAAAAAATATCCAAAAGTGCAATATGTGTTATAAGCTACTTTTATTCTTCTTTATATTTTATTGGATTATTACAAAATAAACAAATGTCTTGTTATGGTCAAATTATTTCTCTTATAACACCCACTGAAATGCACTAGAACAGTTTTTATTTTTGCTTTCATTCTATATTAAAAACTGAATCTGCATTTAAAGTAAATTCTTTTTTTTAAATAAATAAAATGTAATTATTTTAATGCATTATATTATTTTTTTTTACAATTAAATGCTGGCTACAAAATTCACACCAACAAGAATTAGAATGGCAAGTACTTCTCAGAGTGGGCAGTTATGTTAATGATTTTTATTAGATAATACTAGTGAAATCAAAATACTTTCATCTGACATTATGTTAATAATACAAGATCCTAATTTTTGGGTTCAGCTTTATGAACTTCAAGATTTGTTATTTCTGTTATGTGAAATATTAAATTGACTTTAAAAAATATTGCAAGGCTTTTTGAAATTGTGCATTGCTTTGAGTGGCTTGTCAAAGTTTTTGCGAATTGTAAAAATAAGGACTTTTTTGAACATATAGTAGCTTGACTAGAAAAATAGTAGGCACAATAGGAACAACTCCTACTTCTTCTATCATTTGTTTTATATTCAAAATATCAGCTCTCAAAATTTTCTACTAATGTTTCTGGTCTTTTCTATTCACACTTTAGTCAATAGTTAAACTACTACTATTATGCATAGTTCTATGAGACACCAACATGTATTTTGCATGATTTTTTGTTATATCAAAGAAAAGTGTTTTCTTTCGATTATGAAATATACGATCAGTTCAATGATAATATTGTTGATTTTTGGAACTTAGTGAAGGGTCTGGCATCAGAGTTATTTTGATTGGCTTTACAATTATTTGGCATTTGCATTAATTCTGCTTTAGTTGAATATTTGTGATCAATCATGAGTTTTTTATATACAAAATGCTGAAATCGCTTGCCAGTATATGATCTTTATTTAATTTAATAATTTAAATTCTTATCAAGGTCATAGGTATTTAGTAAAATACCCTAATCTGTATATGTACAGTCATCTCTTATTAATATCAACCTAAGAATTTCTATATATTAAAATTATATTAAAACTCCCTCATATATATTAACTTTAATATGTTCTCTCATTAATATCACTATCTAAAAGTGATTCAAATAGGTTGATATAAATGAGAGATGACTGTACAAGTAAAAGCTTTATTTCTGCTAATACCCAATAACTTAGAATATTTTTATTACTTATACTACTAATTTTTAATTATCAATTTAAAAATAAAAAGTACTAGCTATGAGTTAACTGCATAGTGATATATTAAGCAAGCAAAAATGTAAAGAAGCTAAAAAAGCTGAACAAAAATATAAATGAATTCATATTACAATACCTATTCAACCTTACAATAGTAGTGAAGATAGAATGAAAAAAAATAGAATGCAAGAAGATAGAGCATAAGAAGATAGAGCACAAGAAGATAGAGTACAAAAAGATAGAGCACAAAAAGAAATGATGGAATATTTCTTATGCACTATGAATAACAATAAAAAAAGCAATGTATTGGTTTCTAACAATTCACAAACACATCTAAACAAAACTTCTAAAGCAGATGAGGATATGATTGATGACTCTGATATTTTCTATGAAGAGAATTGGTCATTTATAATTGAAAATTAGGTTAGTATAATAGATAATGAGGAACTTGGCAATAATAAAATTACAAATGAAGAACTTGAATTTGAATTGGATAGACACATTACTCATCTTGCAGATAATTCATCAGCAAAATGAAATTTATTAAAATTATTCAATAATTCATTAAAAGTCCCTGTTTCTTTTAGACTTAACAAATTTAAATAATTCATATTATTTTGTAGCATAGAAATGGTTTTATCGGGTGTGGGTCCCATAGCTTAGCAGTTAAGCTCCTATGCCCCCACAGTCAAGGTCAACAGTTTAAGTCTGGCTGGAGGCAAAAACTAAAAAGATTTTAGCATTTGTAACCCAATAAGGAGCCAGTAATTGAATGCGAAACCCTGTGGTTAAGTCCAAGTACAGTACATGACTGAAGTAGAAATTCTCAGAAGGAGACCCAATCATGGAGTGTAGGCATTATGTGTAACAAGTGGCTGTTACAGAAGGTTACAGTTATGGAAAGATTGCATATTAAGTCCTTTAGGCTAGAGCAGTACCAACATCTCTATACCTCCTAATTAGGCAATACCAACATCTTCGCACCCAACTTGTAGGATACTTGCTTGGAAGGATAATCATCAAATTGTGCAAATAAGTCCTAATTGGGATCTAAGGAAAAGGATTTGATTGGAAGAGTAGTCTGGAAGTAACCAAGACTGGAATGGTGAGAGAAGCGGTGAACATGAGGACAGGCTGTGGAAAAGGATTAGTATTATCAAGATTGGAAGCATCTCTGGCACTGTAGAACATTCTGATATTAAAGATAGCAAAATGTATAAAGGAAGTAACCTGTTCTGTACATCTAAAGGTACCAAGTCAGAGCTCTGGTTACACCTATATGGAAGACTATGATGATATAAGGATGAATGTACCAACATGAATACTACACCAATCAAGGTTGAGATACCCCAAATTGGAAGTAATAGTAATATTACGATGGTGACAGCTAGAAGAGGTAACTCACAAA